GTGTGTGTGTGTGTGTGTGTGTGTGTGTGTGTGTGTGTGTGTGTGTGTGTGCATATGTGAGGCAGCATGGTGGAATCAGAATTTCGTCAATTTTTGGGCATATTGTAGAGTTATTGGTACCATATTAAAGCCTGTTCACTTGTCTTTATCTAGTGAAAAAAATATCCAGTTATCTTGAATACAAGTCGAGATATTTGCCAAAGAAGGGGGTGGGGGTCACCTGTTTTCAGAGATAAAATTAGTGAGAAAATGGCCGCCAAAGATTAGTTACTTCCTTAGCTTAAAAATTCGCGGTAACTGAAAATGGACGTTTTTTGTGCCTTTAATCAACGTTTTTCAGAAAATTCCACTCAGAAATGAGTTCTTTAATGGGCATGAAAGGTGTTGAGCCAAAAAACAAAAATTAGACAAAAATTCACAAACCTGCGGAAAAATGCAAGCTTCTTCACTTTGATTATTTTGAAGAGAGCCTGATTCCACCAGGCTGCCTCATATATATGTGTGTGTGTGTTATATAAACAGAGAGAGAGAGAGAGAGAGAGAGAGAGAGAGAGAGAGAGAGAGAGAGAGACAGAGAGAGACAGACAGACAGACAGACAGAGACAGAGAGAGACAGACAGAAAGATAGAGAGACAGACAGAAAGATAGAGAGACAGAAAGAGGGATAAAGTGATAGCATGATTGTGCTGCATGTGTGTGAGTGTGAAGAGAGAGATACAGAGAGAGAGAGAAAAGAAAGAAAGGAAAGAAGGAAGGAAGGAAGGAAGGAAGAAAGTAAGGAAGGAAGGAGGAAGATGAGGGAGGGGGGGTATTTAGAGGAAGGGGGAAGAAAAGGTTGGGCGGTCAAAAGCAGAAGGGGCGGGCCCATGTGTCACCTGTCCGTCCTGACACTCAGACTCCACCTCCTTCTGCACCAGTCTCCAGATGTCCTTCAGGTCCAGCTGTCTGGCCAAGGCACTGCTGCACAGGTTCTCCTGGGGACATCACGTCAGTACATAGTTACACAGAGATACAAGTAGCACTTTTAGTTTTAGTAGAGGTTTTACAGAGATACAAACAGCACTTTTAGTTTTAGTAGAGGTTTTACAGAGATACAAACAGCACTTTTAGTTTTAGTAGAGGTTTTACAGAGATACAAACAGCACTTTTAGTTTTAGTAGAGGTTTTACGGCTCTCGCAACTTCATAAGTTCATGTGAGCGCCAAAAGATTAGAGGTGTTACAAGAGAGTAACAAACATAAAAAGGAAGAAGGGGAGATAAGGAAAATAGATGTTTGATAGGGAAGAAGAAGCAGACCACACCAGAGCACCCGCCAACCAATCACTGAAGCACTGTCTTTCTGTTGTTCTAATAAGACTAAAGTTTTAGTCAGGGTTTTATGGCACTTGCAATACAATAAGGTTACGGCACTTGCAATACAATAAGGTCATAATTAATTAATTATCAGTATCGTTTAGTTTTAGTACAAATTCAGTTTAAGTGTTAACTAAGAATTTTACAGCACTCGCAGAAAAAATAAGGTCCTTTGAGTTCTGAAGATCAGAGGTGTTACAAGAGAATAACACACACATGTACACATGTGTGCACCCACGCATGCAGCATGCAGGCACACACACACACACACACACACACACACACACACACACACACACACACACACATACACACACACACACACATACACATACACACACACACACACACACACACACACACCTTCGCACATCACGATAACGCTAAAAAAAGGAAGATGCAATTTAGATGAGCCCTTGGCACAGGAGAAACTCACAAGTGTTAGAAAATGGTACAATAATATATGTATTATTCTCTCACCTCCAGCTGGCCGGACCTCTGTTTCTCTCTGGCTAACTCCTGACTCTTGGCGTCAGCCTCCTCGCTTATCTCACTGACTCTCACTGCGGGAGAGGAAAGCCATGACTGGTCATACCAACAGTATGAAGACAAAACACGACAAATGTCATTTTTAAAGTTTGGCCATTGATAAAAAGCTGTACATTCTTTGCCATATCGACAGGCTATAAGTATGGCTGGAACTCAGATGGCCACAGGATCAGAAAAGAAGCATGTTGGGAGTAGTACCTTTGTATCTAGAAAGGGGAGGCACATTCCAGAGTCAACATTTTTTTTCTTCTCAAAACACATTTTTTCCTTTTAAGGAACTACTGCAGAAAATGAAGTTCATTTTTTTAAATTACAAAATGTGAAAAAAGCGGTAGATCTTTTCTGACAAAAAGCAACATATCCTCTGCACACTAGTAAAGTTCTTCCCTCGAGTTAAACTAGATGTTCTTTCCAATCCTCCTTGTACCGTGAATATCATGTCGCATTTGTCCAAAATGTGTGGAAATCTCACCAATTTATACATTATAAAAATCGAATAAAGATTCCACACTACAATAAATCATATCAATCAAACCTTATATTACGATAATTTTACAAACAAAACGGCTCATGATTGTTCAGTAGCCTAATTGGGTAAAGAACCACAATTTTAATTTTTCTCAAAATCGGAAACGAATATTAAGTCGCGTTTTCTTACAAAACAGTTCGTAAAAACGGGTTTGCATTTGAGTTAATGGAAGCACATTGACATACAATACCAGTTCGTTCTCGTTCTCTCTCTCTCTCTCTCTCTCTCTCTCTCT